GTCACTCTACTGGGGGAGCAGTGTTCAGGTAGGTTCGAAAACTACATGATGGCTGCCATCTTTCCAAAATCCTCTACATGTCTCCTTATGTGCTCATTTTTCATGTACATTATTTGAAACTTTCTATGGATACTTCTGTCTATTTTAGGCCATACGATTTTGTTCTCTGGTCTGATAAAGACGGCTAGCTGATCAAAGATTCATGTTCCGTTTCCATAATGTAGAATTGCTGACAAATACAGCTTCCCCACCAGGGGCCACATTTCCCAGCTCTCTTGCCTTTAAGTGGGGCCGTGTGACAACTTCTAGCCAACAGAATGTGAGCAGAAATGATCTGTGTCACTTGATGGGCCCTCATGACTGAGTATCCGATATGCCTGCCCCCACAGGCCCTCTTCCCCTTCAGCAGGAACCTGGTATGGCTTGCACTGAAGATAGTAGCATCATAAAATGAAAAGAATTCAGATCTCTGTAGGAGCCAGGATCCCAGCAGAAAACCACAGGCACACTCGAAAGACAAGACAGTTTAAAGAAGGGACTGTTGACATGAGTGAACAAAGTTAAAGGATCTAACAAAGGATGATGAAGCCCCTGGGGCTAGAAGCAGTAGGAAATTGTCATCACACCCATGTCTGAAGGGAGAGGGAAAGAGATCATACGTGGCACCTGGTGAGAGCTTAGCTGTGGGAGAGTGGCCACAGGTAGAGAAATGAGCCATGGCTGAAACAGCTAAGACCTGACCTGTCTTGTCACCTCAGTCTCCCATCAGTACCTCCCATTGGCAAAACCCATTGGAAGCTACAAGTAAGGGAGTTTGCGTGGTGCTGTCCATAGAGGTCATAGAGCAGAGAGGGGAAGGCACAGAGAGAATGGGCAAGTGGAGAACATTCAATAGCATCCCTGAGTCACCGCCTGGAGGAGGACCGTCCAGGGGTGCAGGCTGACCAGTAACACCTGCATTAGCCTTAGTGTGCAAGTGTCGATCTGTTAAGCTTCTAAGATTACTTGTTCCAGAAGTTAACGTATCCTAACTAATATATCTGGTCTAGTTAGATTTGCACATTATGCCTTTTATATCCAAATTGGTTTCCAAAAATATTGGGGGAAATAAATAACAATTCCCAAAAAATGTAATTAAGTGAATTTCACAAAGATGTTTTACATAAATTGTTAACAATTCTACCTTGAGATTATAAATCCATACTCTGCCTTTAGATGTTCCGAACAGCTGGTATTTATAATGGTAGCTAAAAAGGGAAGAAATTCCGGGGGGCAAGAAAATATTTCTTCTTTCTTCTTTGAAAATGTGAATATAAGAAACAGAAAACGCTTTGGGAATACAGTCAAATGAATACTATGGAAAAATTCTTTTCAGGACTCCCTGCTCCTATCTCAACTGGCCTCCTTCTTTTCAGTCCCACACTCAGTCTCCTTTCCCAGGGGAAGTGTCCATAGCTCTCCATCTGGCCCCCACTGCCTTGGAAAGGGGCTCTGTCCACCTTCCTCCCTCGCTGCTGTGCTCCAAGCCCCAAGCCTTTCCTCCTCATCTTACACTGAAACATTGCCCCTGTGCCTGGCTAGGTGAGTGGTTAGCTATTTTGATAACTTTATTCATCGCCCATTAAAAAAATTGGGCACCAATTATATGTGAGGTATATTCTATAAGAAAAGGCTACAAAGAGAGATTTCAAGTTCTTCCACAAAATAAAGTATAATGTAGTGATAGAGGCAGAACATGAAAGCAGATAACTCTAGCATAAAGCAGAAATGGCTAGTGACATAAAAGAAGGCACAAAGTCCTACAAGACTTCATTTTTTTAAAAAGGAAGTGAAGCTGGCACTTACCACACTCCAAGCGCTAGGCGAGGTAGAGTGCATGCATTAGTTCATCTTTCTTTCATATGGCTAATTCCGTCTTGTCCTTCAAGAATTTTTTCAAGTGTCACCACACCCAGGAAGCCTTCCTTGACCCTAACTCACTCTGCCCTTCCTCTATGCTTCCACAATCACAGCTCTCTCACATCACAGGGTAATTTTCATTTATTACCTATTACCCCCAAAGATGGTAAACACCTGGAGTTGGGGGACAATGCCTTGTCTTTGTGCATCTTCTATGCTTAACTCTGAGTCTTGTGCACATCAATCCCTTAGGGAGGGAAGGAGGAAGAAATGGATGGATGGAGGGAGGGAGGGAGGGAAGACAGTTCTGTTAGAGCATTAGAGGAAAAAGGGAACAATGTGAGCAACATGAAATCAAGAAAACAGGAGGTGGTTTCCAGGAATTGTAGGGGTGCGGTTGCATTGTGTTAAAAGAATGTGGGCAGGAAGGTGGCAAGTGACAACTGTTAAAAACTGAAAATGGAAAAGAGTTTGGAGGGTCTTGAATGTCAGGCTAAGGCAGATAGACTCACACAATAGATGGTGGAGACCCACCAGTGGTTGATAAGCTGGGAAAAGATGAGATCGGAGCTGTGTTTTAAGAAGATTAATCTGGCAGTTGGAAAATCTTACCCTTTTTGATAATATATTCATTTCCTATCAGGAATTTTCTTTGACTTAATACAAGAAACTAATCTTATGGCATGGGTTTGGGCAGCCCTGATAAACATTTCTTTCACCAAAAGAGCTCAATCTTGCACGTGTGTATATCAGTCCTGGTCAAGTATTGTTTTGCATTTTTTCTTGTTTCAAACAATTAATCTTTATGCTACTCCCCAAGCCAGCAACCACATAATTTTGCTGCAACACTCTGAAACTAATTCCGAGCTGCTCCCTAAGGCCCAGTATGTAGTTACCAGCAAGTGCTCACTTACTGCAGGGAGTGTCACTAGCGATTTCTAGATGAGATTCTGTTACAAAGCAGCATGTGCTGGTGGAGATTTCAGTCATTTTTGTCACTACAAATAATTTTTAAATGATGCATTTATCCAAAGAGAAAATATCTTTTAATTTATGAAAAATATTTTAATACTTAAATAATTAATTACACATAAGAAAACGATCCTACAAATTAGACCATCATCATGTGACAATAACTTATTATTCATTCTAACAGCCATAAGCCAGTTTCTATAACAATGCACGTGTACCAAATCAAGTGATAACTTCAGACTATTTTAGATAAAAGTTGTATCTTAAAATTTTAAAGTTGTATAAGTAAACATGAACATCAAACATGCAAGTTCAGTTAATATTTTGTTTTTATAGCATTTATTTTCTCTAATTTCCCAAACTTATTGCTGATCAGAAAAATAATTGCAAAGAGCACAAGTCTAATAAGACGGTATTACTGAGCCATGTCATATGAAAGGAAATAACAGAGTTTTTGATATTATGCAGATTGGACTTCGGAAACATCTTTTTAAAGACCAAATGTTCAATAACCAACATCTCAGAAAAGAAGTAGAATCCACTGAGATTGAAATATTTTGAAATAAAAGTAAAACAAGTCACTAGACATGAGCCATCTTTCAGCTTTTGTTTAAAATCTCAAGATGGATCTTTGGAATACTCAAGCTGTATGTATAACTGAATAAGAAATTAACTCACTGATTCTCATTTACCTATTGCTCTATACTTTGACAAACTGTCCTCTCTTTTCCAAAGTACCTTCCTGGGTCGAATGAAGAGCCAGGCAAAGTAGTTCCTCCATTCTTCACAGTGTTACATAGACTCTCCCGTAATGATTCTAAGGGCTGTGCTGCAAAGCACAGTAGAAGTGTCAGATGGGTGAATAGATGCTTGCCCCGAAAATACCATTGGCCCTCCAACAAATGGATCACTTTTAAGCTTTGCCAAACCTTGATGTAAACTTACTATTTAAATTACAGGAAGCTCATTCCCTTTGTCTGCTGTAGCATGATCATTCTTTAAAAGTCAGTAAATAAAAGGGGTGGAGAGCGGAAAGTAAAAATTTAAAAAATAAAAAATTGTAAAAGTCAGTAAGTAAGTTCCCGACAGACTTCTCCTGCTAAACTAGTATCACTGTTTCAGTGATGAATCTCTGCCTGTGTGAATTTCTGCCCAGCTTGGTTAATTGAGATTCACAAATATTATCAAGTTCTCTTGAAAAGAGAGCTCTTTGTGATCCTGTTGGACCTCTAGAGTCAAATATACGAATGTGTTTTTGATTTATCAGCATTTCTACAAATTCTATTTTTCCACACATTTAATTCATATACACATAAATATATATAAGTCATTTTCAAAGTTTCATATCTAGAAGACTGAAAATATTTTTATAACATTTATACATAGGAATTAAATTCTAGTTAAGGATACATAATCAGAGGACAAGTATTTATCATTTATCATTTAAAATCCTGCATTCTAATACCTGTTGTAGGTAAACATTTGCATTTTTTGCCATCCATGTCTTTACCACATAATCTACTTAATAACTGCTTTGCTGACATCTTAATTCCCTTGTTTTTATTTTGTAAGCAGAGGAATGTTTTTTAAAACTCAGATACTTTACCACTTATTCTCCTCCAGAAAAATCTGTAGCAGATAGGCCATGCCTTTTCTCTCAGAGAAACTTGTCTACTCCTATAGGTATTCAAGAAGGAACTGAGTTTTGTTGACATCTCAATTCCTTCAATATTCTCCATATGTCATTGAGCCCTTTGAAACATAAATTCTCTTCCAAACCCCCTGGTCCAAGAAAAAGTGTATGAGCTGTAGTTCTTACCTCAATCAGAGAAAAGCTATCTATTTCAGAGAGGCATTAACAGGATGTAGAACAATATGTCTCTCTTGGTCCCCACTAGGTCATGTTGTTTAACATAAAGTTCTAGCGCAGACACTCATGATATAAGAACAAAAACATATTCAAGAACCAAATTTTTCATCTATCATTTTAGATAATTTGTGCCTATCATATCCTCTACTACATACTCCTTATTCCAAAGTATTTTGAAATGTTTGAATGAGCAACCTGAAAGGAAATGTGGAACCACTTCACCATTGCAGCTTTGAAGGACACATGTTAACTCACAGCCCTAATCATCCAGAACAGTTGACTCCACAGTATTGTTAATCTCACTGCTCACAGAAGATGAAATCAGTTGGATACTCTTATCTATAGTGGAGATTCTTCCAACGATTTCTTCAGTGTTCCTCTTTGGCCTCAGCAAGATAATGAAGCACCTGGGAGCAAATATACAACCCAACAAACCATAGCTGGATGCCAAGATTGCAAATATTTCCACAGCCACTTTGAACTTGCCCTTGGTACTCAAGTAAGCAGGGACAAAGGAGATCCAGACGATGAAAAAGACCAGCATCCCAAAGGTGATACATTTTCCTTCATAATAATTATCCGGCAACTGGCGAGCCACAAAGGTTGTAAGAAAGCATAGCAAGGCTAGAAAGATATCAATCCCAAAGATTGAGCACAAAAACTCTATGGAACCTTCATTACATTCCAGAATGATCTTTGTATTTTGAGATTCCATGTTCTTGTATACTCTTGGAGGTTCTAATACCAAGTAGGCTGCACATATGCCAATCTCAACTAGAACAGAGATTAGCACAATGATTTTCCGATAAAGGGGGTGCATGGATGTAAGTCGGGTTTTGGATTGGGAAATTCTGTAGGCTAAAAACAGTGAAATGGTCTTTCCAAGAATGCAAGATAGACAAAGAGAAAAGCCCAGTGCCAGAATGACATGGCGGGACATGCAGGACCAGTCGTATGGCCTGCCAATGGAAAGCATAGATGACAGCAGCGTAATGATAAGAGACACCTGAATAAGAAAGCTCAGCTCCCGGTCGTTGGCGTTCACCAGGGGAGTGTGCCTGTACATCACATACACAGCCGTGACTGCCATGACCGCAAGTGTCCCAAAGATGGAGAGGATGACAAGTGTGAATCCCAGGGGATCATCATACGCAAGGAATTCCACCTCCTTCAGCACACACTCACTCTTTTGTGCATTCGGCCAGTAGTCTTCACGGCATTGTTCACACTCCCTTTGACCTATTGAACAAAGAACAGGAATTGACTACAAGGAAATCCAATTGTCCCCTTCAATTATGATAGCACAGAGCAGTCAAAACCTAAGGCAAAGACTCGTGGAAAATCCCTTTATCTAGAATATCTCAAAAGAATATAAAATGGCCTTAGGGTGTACAGATAATATTGCAGATTGAGAATTATTTTAAATTTTGGAAATCAGTCTCCCTTCTCAGTTTCAGCCTTTCCTGCATTGGCCTTTTCTTTTAACATGCTTCTTTCTTTCTACCCCAATAATTTAATTGAGAAGGGTGGTATTTTTCCTCATCAACCTGAGAACAATCCATGAATGAGAAAAGTAAAGCTACTGAGGCGAAACAATCAAGAGGATTGTAACAGGGATGAATTTGGTTAAAATACAAGTGTTTTCAGTCTTTCGTTCAATATCCCACCCACAGAAGGGAATTTTGTCTTTGCCCATTCAGCTTTTCCCCTCCTCACCCTCCAGATGTAGATCTGAGGATCAGGTAGAGAAGAACTGAGGATAAGAAGGGAAATAAAAACAACCACCATGTTACCTCAGGCTGAGAAATCTGTGGAGCATGTGGTTGGGTGGGGCTCTAACAGAGAATATTGGAACACAAGAAAAAACTACTTGAAATGAGTTTATAGTAAATTATGAAATGTATCTCTTTAATGCTCTTTGAAAGGTGCAGGTAAAGATTACAAATCCCTTTTAATCATTTCTGACTGCTAACTGGACTTTTCTGATTGTAACTTTATGCAGAGACTGGGCCACATGGAGTCCAAAGAGTTGTTCAAGTTACATGGTGCTTGTTTTCCACTTTGAGAAAATTTCACATTTTTAAAATTCTGTTTTAATTGAATTGCTACTGAAGAACATTTGACAAAAAGACAAATACAATTTGTATTTTCAACGGAAGGTAGAGATAAAAATAAATGTGCTCCAATATGCTTCACAAAACTAAGCACATCAAGCCCAACTAAAATTCTGGTCATAAAAGCAGCAATTTAACAGACTGTAGTGAAGAATTCATAGAGTAATGGTTGCAGAATTCATCTGCCCTACAATCTTTTAGTTACTTATGACCTTAAGCCAATTACTAGTAGGGATAGAATTATAGATCTTGCAGATCCAAATTAGAGATAATTCAGTAAAACATAGAACTGCAAGTCACCCTTTTTTCAATTATGAACATAATTAATGTTTAATCTATTTCAGAAACTAAAATAATTTTTAAAACTTTTTATGAATCCAATTATTCATATTTCACATTTCATATATTTTATTTTACACTTTCCTCTGTTAACTTGGAAGTTGTAAGTCTTTTCCCAATTTTAGCAGCTTTATAACTGAAACACAAATTATGTTTTTTTCACACTGCACAGAACATCCAATAATTTGATGGATTATAATGATTTTTATTGTAAGATATTCACACCTATTTGTAAAGAAGGATCCTGAGGCTCTCTTTGCCAACACATGTGTAATCTAATTGCATTTTAATATCAGTGAAAAAATTGATCGTCTCTACCTGGTTCCTGTGACACATATCCATCAGCACATGGGATGCAGTCAAAGCAACATATTGGTTCCCCCTGACGAATCCCCTTCCGTGTCCCAGGAGGACACACATCAGTACACACTGAATGGGGACACTAGCAAAGACAAATACAACAGATGTAACAAAGCCCTTTGTCTCTACTACTTGTGAGGCTGAAAAAGTTCCCATTTGGATTTCCATGGAAACTTTGTGATATCCTAGGAAACTCAACATAGCAGGGTGAAAATAACAGGCAAAGAGATTAACAATATGGACAGCCTAGAGAAGAATTTTGCTAAAATACAGTCTTGTGGTTGATTCTAGAAATGCAGAGCTAATCCTAAACCTACCTCTTTCTAAATTTGGGGATCAAGACCAGGTTCCATGCCCATGGGACTCTGGGGATGGGACCATTTAACAAGTCCATTCCAGCTTGTGAAGGACCTATGGCCCCAAGAATCATCTTGAGAGCTTGAAAATATGTTTTCTCAGCAAGGTCACCCAACGTAACCTTAAAGTCAAAGATGTGTCACGAAGGGTCGATGGAAAAGAATAATGAAAGATCTGTTCTGTCAGAAAAATTGGGAAGGCTGAAAGGAAAAGAGGATAAGGCACAGCACTGGAATATCTTCTTGAAATGAGCTTAGCAATCTCAGCAGTAAACACAGGCCTCCTTTGACATTCTACACGGACGTGCACCTTGAAACCCAAAATAAGCGTGACGTTTGTAAATCAGTTTGTATCTTAATCTACTAGGGAGTTTCCTATTTAAAAGGGAGATAAAATGTTTTTCCATTAATCAAAGATTTCATTTTGGAAAGTGAATAATTGCATTTTTATTTATTTTCAAAATCAGAATTTTCATATGTTGAGTTTTCCAGGTTAAATCTAAAGTAGATAACATAGAAAATATTAGAAATCTCTGAGCTAAGTTATAGTATGTAACATTACAGAAGTATGTATACGTAACAAATAAGCTTCTTATAATTTTTTTAGGTATATCTATCAAATCATATTTTAAATGTACTTGAGGAATAGCTATTATAAGAAGGAGGGACAACAAGGCATAGCTGTACAGGCATTCCTGAAATAGCTATTACAGGAAGGAGTGAATGCAAGGTGTTCTCAAAGTCTGAGAGAGAAACAATAGAATCACCACAGAAGGAACTGGAATTCTTCTCTCCTGAGCCAGTCTTTGCGAAAGAGCACTCCATAGACCTTATTTTGAAAATCATCATGAACAATTAGCTGACGGTTTTTTGTTCCATTTCTCAGTATCCCTTCCCTTCTCAACCTCTGTGATCTAGCTTCCAACCCACTCACCTCACTGAAACTCTTCTTGCCATGTCTGACAGCTTTTCCTCTAGCCACATTCTCCCTTGCCTTTCTGCAATATTTGACACTCTTGATCACCCACTGCTTGAAATGCAAGCTCCCTTGGCTTCCATCGGGTCCTTTTATTTAGTTTGTTCTGTTTCCTCTACCTTCTTTATCACTGTGGACATTTTCTTGGATTTGGGCTTGATCCCCTGCTTTTACCTCTTGATGTAAAGCAGGCCATTCATTCGCTTGTCTTCAACCTGCGTCTCTACAGAATAACTCCCAAATCTTGATCACTAACACCACCCTTTCCCACCTGACCTCTATCTAATTCCACATTCTAAACTTCCAACATGTCCCTACTTTGAGATCCTACCATCACCTCAAATTCAACATATCTGAAACTATCCCCATCAACCCTATTCCTCCTCCAAAATTCCCCATTTCTGTCACCAACACCACTATTCTCTTCCATCATCGCCAAGCTTATATTCTATTACTTACCTGGATGTGCCCTCTCCTTCACTCAGGCCAGTCTTTTTCCCAACCACCAGACTCAGTTTACCACTATGACTTAAATCACTTCTTATATTGTTCTGTAACTGTTTGATACAAGACACTTGCATGTCCAATCTGTCAGTAAATCCAGAGTCTTACTATATCCAGAATCTAACAACTTTTTGCCACCTCCATCACAGCTATCCTAGTCCAAGCTTCCTACATTATTTTGAATGAATGTATGCTCTTCTAACAATTTCCTTGGTTCTGAGCTTGCCCTTCCATTACTCCTCGCCACTCTATTCCTTTAGTCTGTTTGCAATATGGCAGACAGAATGATCCTTTAAACCCCTAAGTCAGATTATGGCTCTCCTCTGTCAAGACGTCCACAGCTTCCCTTTTCACTCAGTGCAAAAGCCAAAGCAATTCAATAGCCAACAAGGCCCTACCTCTGACCCTCTCTCATCTCTCTTACCTCCTTTCCTACTCTCCCTCTCATCACTCCTTCCAGCTACATTGACCTCTTTACTGTTCCTCCAAAATGCCAAGCATACCCCTGCCTCGGGAATTAGAAGTTGCTGTTTCCTCTGCTGAAAATATTCTTCTCCAAGATGATGCATGGATCCACTTCCTTTTAAATTTTTCCTCAAATGTCACCCCAGTGAAGCCTTTCCTGATCACACTCTGTGAAATTACTGGGCAACCCTCCCCCCAGCACTTCCTATCTCAGGCCCTGATACTTGTTTCTCCTCAACATGATCACCCTTTAAAATACTGTATAATTTCTCTGCTATCTTGTTCATTGCTTATTTCCATCCACTGAAATCTTAGATCCATTAGGTAGGGATTTGTTCCATTTTGATGTAACCTCAGTTCTTATGCACCTATAATATTGTGCTCAATAAATATTTGCTCAGTTAATTAATTAATCAGATGATAAGTACTTTGAGGGTGGTGCCTTTTTTTTTTTTTTTTGCCGTGCTTAACCCAGAGTTGGACTCATAGTAGATGTTCAGTAAATGTGTATTGGATTACATGTGAAGCAATTTCATTATGCAAATATAACCCTAATTTTAATATAGAGGAAAAATAAAATTACTATACTCTACTGAGACATTATTAAAATAGAAATATACTATTATATTTTACTATTTTTCCATCAATCGTTAATAGAACAAGCATCCTATGAAACTCGTATATACAATGACATCATCTGTTTTTTTATATAAACAGTGTATTGAGCACCTACTATTAAGATAAACCTAGCAAAAGGAATATAAAAGTGAAGTGTCAAGCCACATCCATTAAGTAGCTCACCATCCATGGAGAGGTGGCTTAGGGCAGCTCTGTTCTTTCTACAAAGATAGCAGTGTTATATTAATACATCTTCACTGTCCTATATGATAGCCCCTAGCTACATGTGGCTGTTGAGTGCTTGAAATGTGGCTAATGTGACTAAGGAACTAAATTTTACATTTTATTTAATTTTAACTCATTTACATTTTTAAAGCTCTCTATGGCTAGGAGCCACTTTATTGGACAGAGCAGATTTAAGTCAAAGAAATAAAATGAAACAGAGAGCTCTGGCTCCTACAGTGGTAAATGCTGATAACTTGCTATTTTTACATCCAGCCATAATGTTTTCAAGTGATACTTAAGGATGCCAAGAAAAAGAGAAACTAGTGTGTATATATACATGTGTGTATGCTTTTGTGAGTGTGTCTGTTTATTGCTACCAATGGAAAGCAGAGAGTAATAGACCGATAATCAGATAAAGATCTCATAGGCGTCTGACACAACATAGAAGCTCAGAAATCTTGAATTCCTTGTCATTTATTCTTCGATGCTTTCCCAGCATAATTTGAAAGATTGGGGATCTCAGACCTCAGGTCAAAAGGGAAGATGCACGAATAATAAACAGGATGAAAAAAGACCCCACTTCCAAAAAAAGAAAAGCCCTGTGGCAGCAAAGAAAAAGCGTTCTCTGGTTATACTGACACAACTTTCATCTCTCTAATTTCTTCTGGTTCCTCCATTCTGAGATTCACATAGAAGACTAAATTGCCACTGCCTTTCCCCCACCCTATCGCCTTACTGTAACTCTACAGGTCACCCTGTAATAAAGACTAAATTAGGTTATCAAAAACTCTATAGCTCTACTTTCCTGAACTAATAGTTCATTAAGGGTAAAAAGTTCAGGTATCAGATAAATGAGTGATGGGGTTTCTGCTTAACTTTCCACCAACACTTCTCTAGGTGTTGCCTGTACATTATGTACTCAGTGGACTTCGTCTCTAGCTCACCAACCACCTCCCTTGTGAAATATTCGGAGCTGCAGTCCTGCGTATCAACAGCCCTCCTGTT